GAAGTGAAGTGAAACTGCCTGTAACTGAAGTGAAGTGTAACTGCCTCGTGTAATTAATAATTCAACGACCAAGCGTGTATGGAACTGTACAGACTGACCGAAGGAATAATTGTGACATAACGACTTACTGCAAGACATTCGAAGTGTGATTTATTTGCCGCAAAAACTGTTTGACTTGCAAAATACCTGGCAATTAGATTCGCATTTTATTCTAGTCATCTCTTAGGACTCTGATACCTTTTAATGTTTCCTGTCGCTCACTGCTTCAAATTTATTAACTTTATTTATTATATCATGAAAGATTGTTCAATTTAATCTTTCAACGGCAACGATCAAATAAAATTTTCGTTACCCTTGTCAAGGATCTTTCAGCAACCCCTCCAACCACTCAGTGCCTCTACTCTTAAAGTTCCCGACACAATAACTACGAGGTAATAACATCCACTGACTCGGTTATTTACCCGTTCTTTATACGGCTCACAATATGTTGCGACTTGTAACAGTTGTGTGACGAGTTACCCATTATGTCAGGACGCCACAAAAGCTGGCCGCTATCGCTTCTTGTCTGCAGCGACGTAAGCACGCCTCTACGTCAAGTAGCTCGGTCTCATGGAGATCTACGTCTCGACAAAAAAAAAAGAGCTTGTGGCCACCTTTGTTATTATTGTTTTCGAGTGAGCAATAAACTGGCTTCCATGCCGTACGGTATGGATGAATTATAATAGATCTAAATTTTTTGGAAGGCTATCGTTGATATGTACCCAGATACCAGGTTTAAAATTTATGAAAATCTTTAATATTATGAGAATATTTAATCTTTCATCACTCAGTAAGCGAGCAGTATTAGTTTTCTTTCCTAGTTAAAAAATTGTGACATTAACTTAATCCATGTTGAACTTTACGCAAACTAAAGAAGTTGTTCTGTTGCCATCGGAACGAATATTATTCTGAAGAACGAAATTCTGGTGATCTTTTCTTGCCAGTCTACAACCAGTGATTTATGTTGTATTGAACCAGGCGAGCTCAAGCATTATATGGATGGATGATTACACTCTTTCTCTGCTTACTAATGTCTACCCATTGTTTGAAAAATTTTCCTAGATATCGAAGTAGATGGCAGTAGAGATCAATAGCAGTTATTTGACAGTCGCTCGTTAGATTGCAATGGACATCCTCTCAATCATCTCAGCACACAGTCAATGTGATATCGGCTGCATGGAACACCTAAACTCAATGCGTGTAAAAATACAAAAATTTTTACAATTTATTATTCCTCTACACTGCCTCATTTCCGAAACACTTTGAGAGACTCTGTAGCTGCACGGTTTTTTGGCGATCATTATGTGTAAGTGGGGTTGATATATGTTCCATGATATTTATATATAATTGGGCATAGGTGTATATATGGTAGTGGAAATGATTTTAAAAGATAATTTTTAATGATCAGAGACAACAAAATGAAAAGTTTCATAAGGTGGTTGTGCTCATTATCTTTAAAAAGATGCAACAAATTAATACATATAATAATGTATATTATGACTAATTTTTAACAAAAATAAAAAAACTGCTGCACCGATCTTGTTTTTGAAACAAAAATTTCGATGATCAGATCTTTAATTTAGAATTTTTCACCCACGATACATATGAAGACGGATCTATTTTTCATGCGTTATCTTTATTACAAGAAAAAATTCAAATTAATATAAAAAATTTGAATTCTTTTAATCCCTCCTTGATAAGCAGTCTCAGTTTTCCAAAAGCTTTTTCTATTTTTGAAGGCCTCTTATAAATCATTAAATCAGGAAAATACCATCTACGACAAAATTTCGCCATAAGAAATTTCTTATTTTCAGTGTATATAGATTGTATTGAAGAACTATAAAGATTGTAAACAAACAAAACATAAATAAACATTGTTGCCCAATAACTTCAGTCTTCCCGCCAGAGAGTCAGCTGCAGGTGAACCAGCCTGCCCCAATGGTCGACCATGCAATGGACACTCAAGGTGGTCAAATAGGCAGGCATGTCTAACCTACTAAACTTCCAACCCAAATAACGCTGATTAAACGTTGCTTCAACAAAATATTATCGTAATCAACGTTGTTTTAACGTTATATATGCTTGAAGAGAATCTCACCCATCGTTCGCACAAGCCATCTTAAAAAAGCCCGAGGTCAATACTATTCACGGGTAATTCAATCTGGATTGGGAGGCCTTAAGACCTTAAGGCCCCGCAAGTACCAAGTACCCATAGTTCGTGAAGAGAAAACATCCCGTGACCATGCTTATGCACCACCCATTGACGGCTACCAAGCGCAGCCCGCCAGCTACACTGAGAAATGAAGCTGGTTCCATAAACAGTTTTCCAAGCGCCGACCGGTCTCGGTTGCGTTGATCATTACGAATTGGATAGTCTTAATCACCAACTGGATAGTATTTTGCGAACTGGATCGGCTCCTTCAGATCTGGACAATCTTAATTTTGGGCGCCGAAAGAATTTTATCATTAATTTGAAAGCAAATGATTCCAACGCACCTAGAATCATTTGTTGAGCATTCCAAACTGCATGATTATTTAATAATCACTCGAACAATTTTTTATCGCAGTACATCATGTACATACTTTCACATGTAGAATTTTCAAATATTTGTCTCATTCTTTACAGAAAGACTGATATGTACACTCGTGTATTTATAAATACGATGGAAAGCCAATTATGCATAACGGAATTAAGTCATTCATCTGTTGAGAGATTTAGATCATCTATACTGAATCTCTAATTCAGAAGAAAATTTTAAAATTCAATTCTAATTCAGAAAAATGTCTTAGTGAATTTTACAAGAAGATCCGAGTGCAGTTTTCATTCAGTTTTGGTAACGGCTCAATCGACATTCAAAAGTAGTCCATTGTTGAATGTCCAGGTAAATATTTGATGTTTTTAGGCGTCCCAAGGTCATCCATTTCGAAGCATGTCTGTGAGTTGTTTTGCGCTCACACATTATCTATTTTCTCTTGATAAAATTTGTCCCCTTGCTTCTTATGTATTATGATCAGTCGTGAAGTTAGGACCTAAATTATGGATTTTAATTTGATTAAATATCAACACAAAATAATCAAAAATACTATGAAGAACATTCCTTTAATCGTTTACGATATTCGGCTGTTTAAAACAAACTATAAAACATTGAATTCATTTCTTCGGATGTATATTTGAAATTTGTGAGCAGGCAAACTCGAGTTAGAGTCTCCGCAATAATATGCAGCATTTCACTTGAGATTGCGAACGACGTTTCAAAACGAAATTCCAAGCACGAATTGGTCGTAAAAAGCTCCAAGAAGTTCAGGTCCCCGTTCGAATGCATCGTAAACTTACCAAGATATTCGAGCTTAGACGTACGCTGTTCCCGGTCTCATCATAAATTAATAAAGTTTCTCGTTAAAGATGACGCCATGAACCATTTTCTTTTGAAAGCTTCTCATTTGTGGCAGGGATTTCAAGTTATAAATTAAATGCTGGATTACGAGCTGTCAAGGTACGGCCCGAACCCTGTCGTCATTGACGAACGAATTATGATTGAATTGCCTGATTACAGAGCCGCCATTAGAAAATCATCATAGTTGTTGAGGTTTGAATAGGGAAAACTGATGAGAATCCAAATTGAAAATAGGTTATATTCGGGAAATTTGTCATTGAAATGGTAAATTTTTTGCCAGAAACCTATGAATGTGTGACCAAAATACGAAATACATTCCTTGATACATACACATCCATTGCCATTTGTCTGTATTATTTAGGAAAAAACACTAATTTCATTTAATAACAGTTCTTTGTAAATGAATAATACCGAACTTGTTGTTCCTGGATTTGATAACCTCTTAGAAAAGAGAGTCCGAGTCATAATAGATTTCAGCGAAATTATTCATTTTGTTTTCCTTCTTGAACTCTCGCAGATCATGAGTGAAATTTGTACAGGATTTAAAAAATGAAACGAAATTGTTATAGACATCAATAACCAATCAAGTTGAGGTCCTAGAAATATATCGAAATGCCGAAACAATCACTTTAGTTTCTTGAGACTCACTTCAATAGAATTTGCATATTTGTGTAACTTATAATATAAATTTAAGACTCAGGAATTTATTTCTGTTGTTACTGGTGTTAATAGCCCGAAAAATGCTGAATGTACATTTTCTATTATTGTAGTCCTTGAGCTAAACGAAAGCTATGATATTCCAAACGCTCATTTCTGGTCGGGAAATTTGTGGTATTTTCAAACGACGCGAGCTAATTTTCTTTCAAAAGCTGGTGTTTTTGGGGCGGAAATGTTTCAAAAAACTGTCAATACTTCACAGGCTTTGGAATATGTTGGAGTATTTAAAGGCTTTTCACACCTCGGCATTCTAAAGCCGGTATTCAAAAGAGATTTTAAATGCACCAAAATAGCGCAATATCTTGGAGAGAAGCAGCAAGAGTTGTTGAAGGCTTTTGTACAAGCAAGCTTTTCTCAGTACATTGCATTCTGAGTTTTTAAACGTTTCCCGCTATTAGTCTTACTATCCCATTTAACACGAGTAACCATTTTTATTGAAATTCTGATGTGTTGTTAAGCATAGGAGGGATTTACATGCTCCAGTTAATTTTGTTTACAATAAATAATACAATAAAAATTTTTTTGACCATTAAAATAATTCTTTGCACAATTGAACATCAAAACTATTCTAAAAACAAAAAATATATATTTTATAATCTGGTTCGAGATTCATATAAAAAATATATCTTTGCCCAACATTATTGACGGTTTCGTTTTCTTGATTCTCGATTTATCTGGCATTCTCGCCCTTAATCACAGTTTTTGGTGACTGTGGTAGTTATTTGTCTTTATTGACCTGATTTGCTAGGACAAGAAGATCTATCTCTTCAACGGCTGGCATTCGAAAGGCGCAGGTCTCGCATTTTCTAAAAGCCAGCTGAGCTCAAAGTCTCCAGTTGCCGCGTTGCTGCCGTCGGGTGAGGTTCATCCAGTGCGCTCCCGTTCAACACGATTCCAGGTTCAAGCGCTGTGCAATAATTCAATTCGAAGTCTTTTTGGACTCCCTCAAGTCATTTTTCATGACTACAAATGCAATTGTGAAAGATTTAAAAAGAAGTAAGATAAGGAACTGTGAAAATAATTTTGAAGCTGAAGGATTATTGACAATTAGTACATAGAAAAGTTCATACAATCTTTCTTATGGTCACCTTAGAGCATAGCAAGTGGTAATTGAATAGATGTGACTGCGCTGAATTAGTTTTTCACGCTCGGATCCCAAGCTTACGATCCAAGTTTTCTTGCTGGCCGAACAAAAAGCTAAACTCTTTTCGGAAATCTAAAAAAAAGTTCACAAGTTTGTCTGCTGCGCCAACTTTTCGGGTGAGTTTCCCTCAGTTTTTTTGCGTACATTAAATTTGTCTTCCAGCTCAGCGATACATATTTAGTAATTGATTCCATAAGAATTGAATTTATAGCCATATGAAATTAGACACATATGTTCACATTTATATGTTATTTACATTATATTTCTTGATTTTCTGTAAAAATATCTTAGCCTGCATCAAGGTTCATTTCAAGTTCGCATATCCCTTTCATTCATCCTCATTAATAAAATTTGCTTGACATTAATGAATATTGATAAGACGCACGCTGTTGCCCGGAAATACTTTTTTTTGTCAGCATCCTCATTTACTTTAATTTAGCAATTTTTATTAAAATATATGCCTAACTACAGAAATTATCATTTGACTGTAAATTTAGCATTATAAAAATTTCAACAAGAATTTCAATCAAAAACTTGTCACATGAGGGATTTACTCCCAAATCACAGTCGAAAAATCAAAGAATCGATTAAATTTCGTATTCTTTTTAATAAAATTGAATTAATTTTATTTAATTATTCTCAATTAACTTATAAAGAATCAATATTGATTATCAAAATTAAATATATAATGTTTATAATCAATATTTAAACACGTAGATGCTAATATTCCGATATTATTTAGAAGATGATTTATCACCGTTTTAGCATAACAAAATTGTCCATTATATTATTTTAATTGTATATATCGAGAAAACAATCAATTGTTTAATAGACAAGAATTACTTCTGCAGTAATAAAGTTTAATAGCAAATTTCGCATTCAGTTACACAATAGAATGAGCCGTTCATTTCATTTGAGTCTCCTCATAAGGCATTACTTAATAAAATTGTGTTAAATTAATTTCTTTAAACTAAGCATGAGACTAAACACAGGATGCTTTAATTTTTCTTAGTGAGAAAATGAAAAGATTTTTAAACTAACGTTGACTGAGAAGAACGGAGGCACTCTAGCTGATTGCGTGGTCTTGAGAGCGGCATCTTGCAGAGATATTAAGATAAGCGACCTGAAGGTGATTCAACATTATATATAGAGTGTTTTATGAGGTAAACTATGCATTCCTTAATCACTTCACAATAATTATAAAAAACGGCTTATAATTTCTATCTTGTGATGAATCTTTTGTTCTCCTTTGAAAAATATGCAAAAAAAACGTTGACCGTGCAGCGCTGCTCTTAAGTTTGGTGTAATACCTTCCTTCATTCGAACAACATATCAATTCGTTGTCTAAGATGACACCTAAAACTTCTGAAAATAAATGATGGATTATATGCAAATACTATAGAAAAATAATGGATGATTTTATAATCATATAAAATAATTTTGAAAAAATAAGGCAATGCCTTTCTTATCGACTGAAAAACTTGATGACTAAAATAATTTTTTGCCCAAAATTATTCATTAACGCACGCATTTCCGAAAATAAATTTAAAACACACCTAAAATTTCCGAAAATAAATGATGAATTATATGCGAAAATTGCAGAAAAATTATGGATTATTTTATAACCACATAAATATTTTTGAAAAAATAAGGCACTACTTCTGTTATTGACTGAAAAACTTGATGACTAAAATAATTTTATGCCAAAATTATTCATTTACGTACGCATTGTATTGCCTTATTACTCAATGGCGCTGCATATTCTGAAAAAAACATGCGCAGGAAACTCGAGCTTAAAAATAACTTTATTGACACAAATTTCACGACAGTGCATATAAAAGGGCAGAAATTGCAATAATCTGGACTAGATGGAAAAAATAAAACCTAAAACCAAAAAAAAAACTCCTCTTTGTTCAATAATAGCTCACATGAGTAATTGTTATTGTATTCAAGATTTCATGATAGAAATTTCACACGTGGAATCGTTTTACTGTCCCGAATTTCGAAGAATATTTCTTTGTTCAAACCCGCTAGCTCATCCGCAACAAAGGCAAATATTCAACGGTAAGTGTGTCAACATTGTTGGATGAATATAACATCTATGATCTATGTTATGAGCTTGTCACGGCTTCAAGTGAATTCTTTCCTAACCGCACATTTTGCATATTCAAGACTGTGATTATTATTGAATCCCGTAGAAGAATGTACCAAATATACAAAAATTTATCATGCTCTCTTTAAAACTTAAAATTACTTCCATAAGAGTTCTGTTTACTATTCATCTCTAATAAAAATATCAATTCGACAATGTTTATTTAATCTAATTCAGTCTTTGCCTGTTAATTTTGTAATTTGAATTCGTTAACTTTTGTCGATCATAATTTTAGGAATGCGTTAAAGTATTATAAAACCAGTTAAGAAATTCGTCAGATTAATTCGCCCGTTTGAATTGTCCGGAGTTCAACTCAGCTTCAGCGAGAAACTTTTCTCACTTCCAGAGGTGAATTATCTTTTTTTTAAGTATTAAAAATTATCTGCATCAGCGACAGTTTGCGTTGCGGTGGCTATCTCATAAACATTCATAAAATACAAACGAACACTTAGTGAAGTAGGAATTTCACCGGATAAATAGATTTTTTACGTCTTTTGACATTTAGTGATGCTTTACAGATAAGTGTCCAAAAAACAGAAGTGTTGAGGACTACTGAAGTCAATCTTGGTTTGGCTGTTCGTCCAAATTTAGCGTATTCGATGAAGATGTTATTATTTGTATTATAGTCACAATTGCCAGAACGAGCGAGAAAATATTTTCGGTAAACATTCATTGAGGTCATTTTATCCCATTGGGGTCATTTTATCCATGTTATATGCTTTATGGTGAGATGGGTTTCAAAACAGGAATATATTTATGCTATACATTAAATTTTACAATTATTTTTCTAATATAACAGTGGGTGAATGTTGATTCATTATAAGCAAGTTTTGGCTTTTGGGACCTGCGCATGAATTCGATTTGTGTTTGCCAGTAAAATTGATTCAATTCTCAGGCCTAAATATTTTTTTTACTCTTTATGGCAATAAAAATGAGAAATGAGGTGTCTTTTATTATTTTTAGATGCTAGTCATCTGCATAGTAGAACACATTACTTATGCAGTTCGCTCCGGAGTCAAATGGGTCTGTTCGACGAAGAGAACGATTTGTGTTTAGTTTGGTGGCAAGTGGGTCAGAATTGATGCACTAAACTAACATTAGATTTCACACAGGGAATGGAATTTTTCCTATATTTAGCGCATTTTCTCATTTATGGAAAAATGCACTATTGTGCTCGCCATATCCGTCTGTCTGTCCGTCCGTCCGCCTGTCTGTCCGTCAGTCTGTCCGTCCGTGACTTCACGTTTTCATCGACGAGAAAATGCGCTCTCTGTCACTCACTGCAGTGAGTACTGAATCGTATTTTTTTATTTTCTTTTACTGACTATAAACTGGTTTTCAATGTTGCACTCCATGAATTTTTTTTTAATTGATATCTACTGATCATAGGAATTATTTGCCCAATGAGAAGCAGCGGGTAAATTTGTTTGTAATTTATTTAACAAAACTATTGACTTGCATTCGCATTTGATCACTCCATGGTTCCTAATACTAACTAATATTATTTTTCAAGCATAAAGCACACTTATTAAAACTATGAACAGATGTGTATAATAGGCGATAATAATAATTAATACACTTAATAATAATAATTCACACACTTTTAAAGAAACTCGATTTCAAATATAAAAGGTTTTGAGAAACTTGAGACGCAATATGAGTTATTTAAAAAGTTTTACATTGAGTTTACTTACATATAGAAGGTAAACGCATTTTTTTCACGGATGAAGCTCACCAAGTATGGCATAAAAATTATAAAACGCTTAAAAAATATTATTGACAATTCATAAACTTATCATGAATCGAAAAATATAACTGGTGGGGATTTTTTCTTATCAACCAAAATTAGCGTTAGTGACACTTGTAGCTAAGATTTTAGAGACATATTTATAATACGGAAAAAAATGTTTTTTTTAATAACGCAAATGCTCACGCAGAAAAAAAATCCCGGGACAACGTCAAAGCTCTCAATAAACCAAATATTCGCTCAAAAAGTTAGCGTTAACATTTCGAAAATATGACTTTTTTTCCAGTCATGTTTGACTGTCATGTTTAATGACAATCTGCTCTCATTTAGGCTAGAATCAATACTGAACTCAACAAGCTTCAATCGGATTCAATCTTTAATAATTAAATAAATATTCAACACAAGAAGACTTCACAAAAGACAAGTTTTCTGCTTCAATTTCTCAGATCAAATTGTTTGCGGCAAGAGTCCATTATGCAATCAATTAGAAGCCCCTCAGAGGCTTTGTAGCAGAGCTCGCATCAAACTTTTGTTTTCCTTAACATCAATTTCCATGTAATTGCTGCCGATCTTCTTCGCTTCACAAATAATTAGAGAAAATTCCCGGCCTTTTCCAGGAAATTATTTTGGCCTGTGAATGAGATGAGTGTGAGTAAAAGTGATGTTTCGACAGTTAAGGAATTCTGTTACACATTCAATGTTCCATTTTATCATTGATAATTAACAAGTTAGTTCTTTCACAGGGAATATACAATCGGTATCAATTTTTAAGATCCACCTAAAATTTCAACTAATTTTTTTGTAACAAACCGTTAACGCTGTGCTTATTTATTGTAAAATGAGAAACATTTTTGGCATAATACTCTTACGTAAAAAAATCCCTTGAGAATGATTTTGATCTATTTTACAAAGAATATAAAATCTCTTTCAATGAAATAAAAGTAATCAAAATTCTCAAATTTGGTACAAAACTATCTCAATTGTCAAGAAGAGAAGAAAATTAATGTTTACAAATTGATACCGTGCCCGAACGGTCCCAATGACATTCAAATAAAAAATTAGAATTTGGTACAAAGAATTTGATTGGGCATGAAAATGAGGTTATGTAAATTTCCCCAAAACAAATAGACTCGTGTAGAATTTCAGAAGCCTAATTCACTAATCAAGCCTCTGAAGCTTGAGTAGAACGTAAGCCTGATATTCATTGAGCCATACGA